TGGGTCCACTGGTGGAACCTCTTCTAACTGGTTCGGTAGATTTGACGAACCGGTTCTACCGAATAGGTGCGAACTGGTAGGAACCCACCTCTGGAGCAGGGGTATCAAACTCAAGGCCCACAGCCAGATCTGGCCTGCAGGGTGCTCAAATCTGACCCTGGGGCTGACCTGGAAACAGTGAAGGACCAGCCCGTGCCAGCAAAAATGGAACTCATGACCGTTGTGTGCGACCCTCCTGAGCTCCATTTTCCCTGGCAGAGGGTTGCAGGAAGTCATTGCAGCCGAAAATGGAGTTCAGGAGCCCTTTTTTACTGGCAGAATGCTCAAGCCAACAAAGGCTCACCCTGTCCACTCCCACCCCGCCCTGCCCCCTGAGGTCAAACACAATCCTGATGCAGCCCTCAATGAAATCAAGTTTGACACCCCTGGTCTAGAGAACTATAGTTTCCTTGACATTCCCTCTGCCTCTTTCAAGTCTTTCTGGGAAAATAGATCTTCCCTCCTCTTGCACTGTAATTTGCAAGGAAACTTCAAAGCTCCAAGAAGCTTCAAGGCTTTCCCTTCAAAGAAGATTAATGGCATCTCTCATTGTGTACTGACCAGAAGGGCTAAAGGCCGTGTGTCTTACAGACCAATATCTCTGGAGGGTGCCCAAGGAGCAAGGTCGTTCATGCTCTTCCCAATTACCTTGATGTGTCATATAACCCCTAAAGCACTTGTCATTCCAGATGTCCAGGTGTTGGCTTTGGTCACTACCAACTGCTCAATGATATTGAGGATGGAAATGGAGAAGCAGAAGGCTCCACCGAACAAAATATGATTGATGGCCTTTCCCCACATGCATTTAAACCTTGGAACAAGCCCATCAGGCCAAAAGCTCTTGTCCATCAAGTCTCATGATGTTTCCTTTAAACTTGCCCCTGGACCCTGTGTGAATCAGTCTTATGTTCTCCTTCAGTTAATATTGTCTGGGGTAACTTCAAACTGTGTTAAATGTGTTGGGTCTTGCCTCTCATTACCCTAGAGCAGGGGTGGGCTTCAAAAATTTCAGCAACAGGTTCTCCGCCCGGTTGCTGGGTGGGCGTGTCCGTAGTGGGTATGATCTAGTTGGCCTCCTGCACCACTGTGGGAGGGGGGATTTTCACCTTCCCCAGGCTCCAGAGGCTTTCCTTGAGCCTCTGGGAGGCAAAAACGGGCCTCCCCGGGGTCAGGAGGCCCTCTGGAGGCCCAGAACTTCCAGGAGGCCCGTTCCCCCCCCTTCCCGAGTCTCCGCACAGGCCCTGCACTTACTTCACATCCAAAACAGGCCTTGTGAAGACTCCTGGGAGGGGTGGGCAGGGCCAGCCAGGGGTGGGATTTGGAGGTTTTCCAAACTAGCCATAACATTAGCTACAGGTTCTCCCAAACCCAGGCGAACCCATAGCAGCCCATACCTACCCTAGAGCCAAGGGTAATGCTGGCAACTTTAAGATGCATGGACTTCAATTCCCAGAATTCCCCTGGCTGGGGAATCCTGGTAGTTGAAGTCCATGCCTCTTAAAGTTGCCAAGGTTGGGACCCCCTGCCTTAGAGGGAAGCCAGATGACTACTATGACTTCAGACAATGGCATTAGAAGCAGGATGGGGTGCAGCATCGAGATGGTCCACCCTCATAGAGTTTTATGTGAAGCACTTCAATGCATTAGTAGGGAAAATTCATAAAATAGTAGGAGAAAGTGGGTAAGCCAGTATGGAGGAGAACCTGGGCTTTACAAGGTCCTGTACTACTACTCCTGGCAGCCCTAGGCAACAAAGCTAATAGTGAGTCCTACTACATTTTGTAGCTCTACTGCAGGCAGGGCCGGATTTTCCTATAGGCTAACTAGGCTTCAGCCTCGGACCTCAAGATCAAGAGGGGCCTACATTCAAATTGTTAGCAAAATTAAAATTACACTATTCTAAAAACAGGGAACACTAAA